TGATTTTGGAAATATTAAACTTCAAATCTGATTTTAGAAGTTTAAAAACTTAAAATATGGTTTTATGTAATTACCACTTTTTTTTTTTAACAAAATTTGGCTTGGGCTGGGGTGGGCAAGGGTGGGCTACAGCCCACCCCTATCTCCGCCCATGATGGTGAGAATATGAAATGAATACCGTCTTTGGTCATCAATTAAGGCAGAGAGGCTTCTACACAAAAGTGATAAATATAAATAAGCTTTGATTTCACTATAGGCATCAATACAAATCTGATTATAGAGCCAAAATAATGTCCACAAAGAACATTAAATGTGCTTATATTCCGGGTAGGGAAAGTCTAAGTGGGCATCTCATATCTAGCAATAGAAGTCCAAAAGCAGTTCATGCATTTAGATGCACTCTTACAGAAGCAACGGAGACATGAGGTAACTGAAACCAAGTGTGAGAAAATCCCACAATTATAATTGGAGCACAATATCTGGTCCAGTCCACTACTCCTAAAATATTCTCCAATCACTAACTAAATATTTTTTGACTTCTTCAATTACCTTTGCTATCTCCTATCTGGTTTCCCAGGATAAAGACATCTACCACCACCCTTGATATGGATTTGAGATTCCCATCTTCTGTTGACATGCAATTATAAAATGATATCATGCAACCCTCATTCACATTAACTATTAAGCAAGGTTCAAACATGAGAATGGCAGCAATCAGGTTGCATGATATCACAAGCACTGATGGCATGTATCTATGTCGTGTTCAAAGATATACCTCGTGTTTCTCTGTAAAAATGATCAAATACAGGCATTGGTTAAAGAGGCCAAGCTTAGAAACATCTCTAAGCTCACAACTCATTTATCATGTCAACCATCCATAGATTTTATTATAACCACAAATATCCTCTTCTTCCATATCTGATCATAAATCGATTATAATTGCAACAGGGACAGCAGCCTCTACATTTGCCTAATTGGCCCAATTAGTCCAGGAATCTAAAACGACTCCTTGTTGCACCCTTCCCCTCACCTCGCCTCCCAAATGTCGCTTATTCCAACCCCTTGCAAAAACCGAAACTGACTATTCTTTATGTGCTCATGTATAAGTAACCAAGATAAAATCCACCTCCCTCAGAGACGATGGTAACAAACTCAAACAAACAATTATGTGGCCAACATGAAAAAATAGGTTCCTATTTTGAGCTGTTGATGGCATGATTATGCCAGTCAAATGCTAAGGAAAAATGGAAAATAGCACAGGAAATGCATATCGATAGCAAATAAATTATATGTAATAAAGCAAGGACACAAGTTTATCATGCTGAATAACATAAATAACATTTTCAAGGCAGTAGCACCAACCTTTTTCAACTTGTCCAGTACCGATTCTTCAAAAGCAAGATATCCAGCACCAACAAGATTCCTCAGTTTTGGGCCATCGGATTCTATATTAGCCTCAACACGAAAGTTGACTGGTGTTGAAGCAGGTTGAAGAGGCAAAACTAGAAGAGGATTTGAGAGATCTCCCAAGACATTCCCAATAGCAGCATTCTGTCAAAGAAAACATCCCTTCAGAGACTAGTTAATAAACTACAAAATCAATTTGGAGAAAAGAAATTTGTTAAGAAAAGAGAAAAAAACAAACATACAGTTGCATCTTTAGACCCCATTACAACAAGGGCAGACCCTTTATTCTTGGAACTCTTGATGACTACATCTTCCACCCTGCCAAACTCCTCAAAAATATCCCTGAGTCTTTGAGCTGTATAGTCTTCGCCAGTCTTCTCCCATGAAACCTTAAGAACCTTTTCCTTGTCTATCCCGCTACCACCACCATCCATATTACTTTTTCCCATTGCAGCTGTATCTTTCTTTGAAGGAGGAGTCATAGTAGCAGATCCTTTGTTGCTATGCATTGCACGAATTCTAGCAATCTCCTGCTTAAGCTTCCTAGCAATTGTCTCTTCCTCTTCTCGGGCTCTCGAGCTAGGGTCAGGAGCAAAAGCATATCGCTCTCTTTCTTCGAGATCTGACATCATCTTCCGGCGCTTGGAGTCTTGTTGTGACTGGCGTTGGAACTTTTCTCGCTTCACCCGAAGCAGATCATCAAACAACTTCCTAGCATTTTCATCCTTCAGGATCGCATAAGAAGATGTAAGCTTTTGGAAATTGTCATGTGCATTTGGGTCATCAGGTCTCTTATCAGGGTGAAATTCCAAGGCCTTTAGCCTGTAAGCTTTTGTAATTTCTTTCTCCGAAAGCTTGGCACCTTCTTCACCAGAAGGCAAGCCCAAAAAAGCATAGTGGTCGACATCACCGTCCATATCTTCAACTCTTTATTGTCTACAAACACGGACAATGGAAAAACACAGATAAATAATAGAATGTCAAAACTTCAAGAGTAGATTCTCGAGAGAGTGTAGGAAAATGCATAGTTAGAACAACAAAAACAAAACTAAGTCTTGTTTCCAATAAATGTAACTTCTACAAATGCTTTTGGCTACTGGATTCATGTTACCTTGGTTTGGAGTCGTCAGAATGTATAATTACTAAGATGCCATGTAATAATATATGTTGTATATGTCCAAAAGAATAGGTAGTAACTTTAACTAAGATGCCATGTGATCTAATATTTTAATGACAAACAGAAAACACGTCACGCGTGTAGTTTAGCATAAAGTTATCAAATTTTGAGGGGGAAACTAAGCCAAAAAAAAAAAAAAAAATTGTGACTAAAATAGACAATATTATAAATACCTTGCAAATTATCACTGACAGGCAAACCAAAACCATAAAAGATTTAAACTTCATCACCAAAGAGGAGTAATGCCACGGGTCAACCCCAAGAAACTAAAATTTAGCCCTTGTTTGCTTCTCATTATTTTCAAAATAATTTTTTTTTTCTTATTTTCAACCACACATTCTTTAATAAAATAATATTACGGACGAACTTAAATTTTTTCCTTATTTTTTAACTACACATATTCCATCAAAATACTATTCCAAAATGTATTTTGGGCGAAAAATGGGATTCAAATGGGCTCTTATTGAAATTATGTGGAGAGAAAAAATAGAAAGCATATGAATTCTTTATAGGAGCAGCAAAGAACNTTTTTAACTACACATTTTCCATTAAAATACTATTCCAAAATGTATTTTGGGCGAAAAATGGGATTCAAATGGGCTCTTATTGAAATTATGTGGAGAGAAAAAATAGAAAGCATATGAATTCTTTATAGGAGCAGCAAAGAACAAGCTCTATTGAGCAATTCGAAAAGTCGAATCGGAGTCAAACAGGGGTTGAACCGCTAATAATAAATAAAATAATTAATATATAAATATATAACAATTTGACATAATATATATTTTTTTTCAAAATGACATATAGATATAACAATCATTTAATAAACTTGATTGCAATTAATTTTTAATTTTTTATTAGGTCACACTTCTAATATTAATAGAAAATGAGATAACAAATATAGACAAAAGTAATATTAGTTGAGTTGATTAGATATTTTTATGGCATTTTAGTTTATTATTATTATTATATATAAATGAGAAAATAAGGCAAATTTAAATAAAAATGTAATCAAATTTTAAAAAAATAAATAAATGAAAAAGCCAATTTCACCTTGTAACCAGTACTGATGTAGAAAATGCACAAACTTGATAAAGAACAATAAGGTAACGAGAAGAGGGGATCAAAGGGAAGAGTTGAGGGCAAGAAAAATTGTTTTATTCATATAATTCAAGTGAAAACGATTCCCTAAGTCCCTTTTATATAGTGAAGGACTTTGCAACTAAACAAACTTTCTTTCTATATTGATAAACTAAAATAAAAGATAACATCAAATTTCAATCCTGATAAGTTGAAATAAAAGATAACATCAAGATAAACTGAATTAGAAAGATAATATCAAATTTCAATTCTACTTAATCGTAGTGTTTCGTCTTGAATAGAAACTCTTTTTGTGTTGCATCATTCCTCCTCGGCTGAAAGGAACTAGACACCGATAAGGTATAATCTAAGTAGGCATCCAAAAGCTCCGCATCCAACTGGCGGAACTCTTCTTTAGTAATCAAAGTAGCATCACTAAGCGGATGATATTTCCAATGCACTAGAAACCTCCGAAAACCCCCATTATGGGAAGCAATAATCTGATCATGAAGCACCTCATCAACAATATCCTGAGGTGAAAATGTTGTGACGGGTGCCCAAGAGGGCGGTCGAGGAGCTTATCTTGTAGATATGTTAGAAGACAAAATTTGAGGCTCGAATGTGCCTCGATAAGGATACAAGTCTACTATATTAAAAACAGGCCTAATATTTAAGTGCAATGGAAAATTAAGTAGATAAGTGTTAGGTCCAAGCTTTTTAATAATAAGGAAAGGGCCAAGTGATCTAACACAAAGCTTTTTTTTTTTTTGCAGCATGTTTTGAAAAATGTTCAGGTGCCAATCGTATCATAACAAAATCATCAATTTTAAACTCTTTATGCCTACGATGTAAGTCAACTGTCATTTTATAGTGATCATTGCTTAAAACAATTTTTCTTTTAATCCCATCACACAAGTCACAAATATGGTCAGCAAAAGCTTGTGCATGGGCAGTGGAACAACAATCAGGAGGCAACAGAACTAGATCAAGGGGTTGACGTTGGGCGAAACCCTGAACAACCTCAAAAGAGCTATGACTTGTAGACCTATTAACAGAATTGTTTTAAGCAAACTCAATAGTAGGCAATACTAAATCCCAATTACCCGGTTTTTCTCCAACTGAAACAATGCAGATTACCTAGACTACGATTGACGACTTCAGTCTGACCATCTAAGGATGAAAAACTAATGAGAACTTAAGGGTTGTCTCGAACAATTTCCACAATGTTTTCCAAAAGTAACTAACAAACTTAACATCACGATCAGAAACAATAGTGACCGGGAGCCCATGTAGATGAAAACCTCTTTGAAAAATAGATTAGCGATATAAAATGCGTAAGTAAACTTAGAACAAGGAATGAAATGGGCCATCTCAGAGAACCTATCTATGACCACGAAAATGGAATCATGACCTCGAGCAGTTTTAGGTAACCCCAGGACAAAATTCATACTAAGGTCAGGCTAAGGAGTATGAGGAACGAGGAGAGGGGTATACATTCTAGTGTTTTGACGTTGTGCCTTGCCCAATTAACAGGTACGACATTGAGACACAATGCGAGCAACGTCCCTTTTCAGGAAAGGCCAATAAAATCTATCTTCAACCAAGGCAATAATTTTGTCCCTACCAAAATGACCAGCAAGACCTCCTGCATGTAGTTCCCAAACAAGAAACTCACTAAGTGAGGCACGAGGAGTACATAACTTGGTTCCTCTAAAAAGATAACCAACTCTGAGCAAGAAACAACGTTATCACGAAAGGAGTTAGCTAAAAGTTCTTGAAATTATTGTAACACAAATTTTCTTCTCTACTGTTTAGGTTAATTGATTCTAAAGAAGAAGAAAGTCCCACGTTAATTGTCCAGAATATCTAGTAATCGTCTATAACAATATGTGTTGTTCCCCGATTTTTTCATCGCCATCCTAAATTAATGGTTATTTGAATTCATTACGGAAGTATATTTTACACATCGAACTCGAAGCAAGCAATATGAATGAGTTTAACAAAAGATAATATGGTAAATAGTAGCATATTTCGAATGCATTGGGATTCAATAAATGAGATTATTGGCAAACTTCTTCAAATTCTTTAAGATACAATTTTGCTTTTAATTAGAAAGGAATTAAGAAATTGTTCGCTATTTTATGTAGAGATATCTACATAGGTATGGTTTTAATTGAAAAATAATTATTAGTTTCGAGTATATATGCAAATGTGGACTTCTCGTGTTCTCACTCTCAATTAATCTAATGCTTATCTTTTGTTATTCAATATTCAACTAGCCATGTTAACAAGTCGGGTCGAGCCGAAACTCGAAGCTCAGGCTCGGCTCAAGCCAAAAAGTTCGAGCTTTTTTTGGCCCGTGCCGAGAAAAAGTTCAGTCAAAAAAATCCGACTCAACCCGAGCTTTCGGCTAGAGCTTTAGTGGACCGAACCGGGTATTTTTTTTCTTTTTCAAAGCTGCTTGTAATTTTTTCCCTTTTTCAAAGGCAGCTAAAAATAGCTGCTTGGAGTTCACTTGCAGGCAGCTAAAATAGCTGCTTGTACAGGTAGCTACAGCATTTTATTTTATTTTATTTTTTTCCTGTTGTTTCGATTTTTTTCTTAGTTGCAGGCATGCTAGGCAGTTAAAAAATAGCTGCCTAGCGTGCACTTGCAGGCAACTAAAATAGCTGCATGTACAGGTAGCTACAGCATTTTATTTTTTTCTTCTTGTTCCGATTTTTTTTATTATTAACAAGCTCGGCTAGTACGGGCCGGCCCGAGCTCGAGTCGATGCCCCAAAATGGGCTTGGTGGTACCGAGCCACGAGCCGGCCCGACTCGGGCTTTTTCCAGGCCGAGACTCAAATGCAAATTCTTTTCAAACTCATGACTAATAGGGAATTGTTCCTTTAGGCTTAATGTTTGAAACTCACGAGCCCAATTGAATGCCTTTAGACTTTATTTTTGAAATACATGTTCACACTAAAAACAATGAATAAAAAAAATCTAATTACAAAAAAAACAAGGCAGACGCCTTACGCCCCATTAGGCGTGTGATTTGAGGCATGCACCTCATTGAATGAGGCGTCTACCTCATAAAAAAAGAACCTGACATAGGGCCTTGAGGCATAGGTGCTACACCTCAGCTTGAGGTCCACCTCAAGACCGTCTTTTTAAACCATGTATATATTGAAGCATTTTCTGACTTCAATTTCAAATTAACGAAATTATTCAAACATATTTTACAAACAATTGAAAATTATGCTTATCATTTTAAATAAAAGGTTCATGCAATTGGGAACACTGGTTGAGTACTTTACAAAAGATGATAGCATACTCGCATGCTTGCATACAGTTGTCCAATTGATCTCCACGATGAATATGTTCAAACAGGAAGAGAGCACTTCAATTGAAAGCCTAAAGCATTTATGTGATGTTGTAATAGGAATTTTGAAGAATATTAATTAAGAAAACCAAACAAGGATGATATTGCAAGGTTGGTAAAAGAAGGTGAGGCTCGAAGATATCCAAGTATGCTTGGTAGTCTAGATTGTATGCATTAGCATTGGAAAAATTGTCCATAGCTTGGCATGGTACACATAATAATGGTTTTAAAAGAGTTCATACCCTCATTTTAGAGATTGTAGCTTCAAAAACATTTACGAAGTTGGCATGCATTTTT